ATTTGCCGCTGTCCACACCTGCTCTACTTGCCTCATTTTGATTTCGTGGAGTCACCTGAAGGCATTTGACTCTGTGGGCACTGAAGGCCTTCTGTGGTAGGCTGAACAATGGCCCCCAAAGATAGCCAGGTCCTAATCTCTGGCACCTTGGAATGCCACCTTAGATGGCAAAAAGGGTTTTGCTGATGTGACTAAATTAAGGGTCTTGAGGGACTTCCCTGGCGGGCCAGTGGTTAAGACTCTTCACTTCCACTGCAGTGGGCACAGGTTCCAATCCTGGTTGGGGAACTAAGATCCTGTATGCTGCGCAGTGGCCAAAAAAAAAGAAAAGAGTAAATTAAGGATCTTGAGATGGGGAGAGGAGCCTGGATTCCCCAGGTGGGCCTTATGTAATCAGAGGAATCCTTACAAGAGGGAGGCAGAGGGAGATCTGAACACAGAGACGGAAGGCAGTGTGACGGAGGAAGGAAGACGCTACCCTGCCGGCTTTGAAGATGGAGCCACGAGCCAAGGAACGCAAGGAGTGCACGTTCTAGAAGCTGGAAAAGGTAAGAAAACAGATTCTCCTCTCAAGACTCTGAGGAAGCAGGGCCCTGCCAGCACCTTGATTTCAGCCTTGTGCAATGGATCTTGGACGTCTGGCTTCTAGAACTGTAAAAGAATAATTGCGTGTTGTTTTTAAGTCACTTAGTTTCTTTGTGTGTTATTAATTTGTTACAGCAGCCATGGAAACTGATAAACCCTCTTACCTTGTACATGAGAGCATCTTTGCTCCTGTTTCCCACTGTAACTACTTTTTTGAGACCTCCCTGACTCTGCACTGAGGAAGCTCTTGAACCCTTGTGGTCCAGCGTATCAGTGGTCTGAGGAGGAGGTGTGAGGCAGGAGGTACTTGGGGAAGGGTGATGGCCATTTTTCAGCCATTTTTCTGGGGCTCCGGCAGAGCTGGGGTTTGGAGGGGGAGCGTACAACATCTCGACCATGGGCAGAGGAGGTATGCAGGCATGGGAAGCACTAAGACTGACTTCCCAGAGCCTCCTTCCTATGACAGCCTTGCAGATGTTTTAGCCTGGTCCAGTATCCCTTCCCCCTTCTGCTGTTTTGGGGAACTCTGCTGCCTCACTTCATACGGTCCTGGAAATCCACCCCACTGTAGTCCCCGCTCCTTAGTCAGGGCCTGGAATGTGGCCCAAACTAGGCCAATCCAGTGATCCTCTGGGATGGTGGTTCTCAAACTGGATTGTGCATCAGAGTCACCTGGAGGGACTGTTAAAGCATGGGTTGCTAGGGTTGCATCAGAGTATCTTATTCAGTAGTCTGGCGTGAGGGTTTGCATTCCTAAGGAGTCCCCAGGTGATGCTGGTCCAAGGGCCACACTCTCAGAGCTCCTGCTCTGGGATTTTGAATCCCAGAACGTGGAAGATAGGTGGTGAGTGTAACCAAAATGGATGGTTCAGAATTTCCTATAATGACATCTCTGAATCTGATCTTCTTCTGGGCATTCCAAGGGCCTAGTCATTCCTCTTATCCTTTATTTCTCTGAGTTCGATTACCTTACGCTTGAGGTATCGAGATTTGATATCTGTTGCTTGCAACCAAAGATCTCTAATGGATTGGACTTGCAAGGAACACTCTTGATAGGGGAAAAGGTAGGGCTCATGGGACACTAGACGTACAGAGGATAGGTTAGACATAATCTAACTGCCAAGACCATATTAATGTGGATCACAATGATTATTCACAGAACGCTTGCTATGTGCCTTATGGATGCTAGCATATGGCACATCTTACGGCATCTTACCAGCCTTACTCTGAAGGGAAGATATCTTTACCTTTATTTATTGCTTTTTTAATAAATTTATTTATTTTATTTATTTACTTTTGGCTGCGTTGGGTCTTTGTTGCTGCGTGTGGGCTTTCTGTAGTTGCAGCGAGCGGGGGCTACTCTTTGTTGCGGTGCGCGGGCTTCTCATTGCGATGCCTTTTCTTGTTGCAGAGCACGGGCTCTAGGCACGCGGGCTTCAGTAGTTGTGGCATGCGTGCTCAGTAGTTGTGGGTCGCGGGCTCTAGAGCGCAGGCTCAGTAGTTGTGGTGCATGGGCTTAGTGGCTCCGTGGCATGTGGGATCTCCCCAGACCAGGGCTCGAACCCGTGTCCCCTGCGTTGGCAGGAGGATTCTTAACCACTGTGCCACCAGGGAAGCCCTTTACCTTTATTTTTCATTTGAGGATATGGAGGCCCAGGAATTTGCTATTTTATTGGCAAGATATAAAATCAACATGATATTCTTAGTGAATGGTAGGTAATACTGAGAAAAGGACAGTATTTCCCTTCCTCTTAGCATTTTTCTCCCCTCTTTCTTCATTTTCCCTGGGTGACTAATTGCCCCATTAGCCTGCCCCCTCTGCCCCTTAAAATTCTTTTAAAGGGGGCAAGAGGAAACTGACTTTTTGACCATCAAAATTAGGCATTTAAAACTTTTTCTAGTTTGCTTTTCAAGTATTAGATGCTCCATAAGTCCTAGAGATATAAAAAGAGCCTTATTTGCCTTCTGACCCACAAGCAGATAAATAAAAACAAGTTTGATCTTTGGAATTCATATGGAAAGCATCAAGAATGAAGTGGGATGTTAGCTGAGTGTTTTGGGGGAAAACAGCTCATTTTATCTTTATAACTAAAAATACTTATTGGGCACTTCTAATGCCCTACACTACATCCTCTTGATTTGCCATTTACTTTAGCCCTGGCTGTAGCAACTGACTTGTGCCTGACAGTCCCTCCTTTTAGCTGCGTAGAGTATCTCCTGCTTTTTGCCCCAGCATCTCTGCCTTGGTGTGGGACATCCATGGGAATCTGTTTACTTATATTCAACCTGGAAGTGAAAGATTATGCAAAACCCATGGTTTAACCTTTCTCTAATGGAGGATGAGCCAGTGGATAAATGTTCCCTTCCAGCTCTTACTTCTTGGGAGGACAATCTTCAAGGCTCCTTAGAAGGTCCCAGTGAGATTGAGTGTAAGTTGCCCAGAACAGGACCAACTCAAGAATGCTCTTTGGATTAGCTGTCCCTCCTTCCCTGTTTCAGTCTTCTTGGTCCCCCACGTTTCTTCTCTGGAATCACTCCTACAAATAACTAGCTGCCTGCAAGCCTAGGTCTCAGGCTCTGCTTTCTGGAGGAACTCAGGCTGGGACAACATTTATTGTAGCAAATTATAATATACAGATAAAGAAAAAGAACACTAAAACACCCATCATTCTGTTCTCTCTAGAGATCTCTTTTGGTAAGATTTGGGTGTATATTCTTCTTAATGCATACACTCTCTTTAAGAGACACCACTGGGATCGTGCCATACCTACAGTTATGTAACCTGACTTTGCTATATTGTGAATAATTTTCACGTAGTTAAGTTTTCTTCTCCAATGTAATTTAATAGCTGCACAGTTTTTCATTTACTCATTCATTGTTTGTAGTACTATGTGCCAGACACTGTTTTGAGCCCTGAAGACATAGCAAAGAACAAATAGATCAGGTCTCTGCTCTCACGAAGCTGACAAGCCAGTTAGGATCTTTCTTACATTCTAATGGAGCATAACTTAATTAACCAACGCCCTATTGTCAACTACTTAGATTGCTTCTGATATTTAGCACTATAAACAATGCTTCAGTGAACCTCCTTGAAGGTATTCTTTGAACTCCTCAATTTTCTTCTCTTGGATAAATTCCTAGAAGTGGAATTGCTGGAAGAAAGAGGATGTGAGTAAATGAAGGTGCTGGGATTCCCACCTAGATCCAACTCTGGCACCCAGGCTGTCAACAACCATGCTGGTGATATCACTGAATTGGAAAATAGACACACACACACACACACACACACACACACACACACGCGCGCGCTTGCATAGTAACCAGAGGTGCCGCCAAGTGGTTCCTAGCTGGTTTAGATGTGTGGGCTCTATGATTCTGCTAATTAATAGGTCAGGTATGGAGTAAGAAAGAGGATTAGAATCCTGGGTCTGCAAATTACCAGCTGTGTGATCTGTGGCTATTTATCTGTAAAGTGGAGACAGTAGTTCTCACTTGAAGGGTTGTTATTAAGTAAATATTTATTGAGCTCCTATTAATCACTGGCCTCCAAGCTAAGAATTGACAGTCCAGTAGGGAAGGGAGATGTTAGTAAGACATCACACAGATATAAAATAACAAATTGTGTTCTGTGCTATAAGTATGGGATGCTGTTAAGAATGAATAGCAGGGAGACCTGATTTGTGGGGGCGGGGTTTGGGAGAACTGAGATATGAACGATGTGTAAGAGTTAAACCAGGTCAAGGTGGGGATAAAAGTCCCTGAGGAGCGAACAACAGATACAAAGCCCTTAGAAGCTGGTATGCTATTGTATGCCTCTTTCTTTCCAATCTCATAGCCCTCTCACTTGCAGTTCCTTCTGGAAAGATCTCTTCTGAGATCTGATCTTCCCATGGCTGGTTTCTCTCCTCATTTAGCTTTTAGTTCACATGATATATCAGACAGTCCATTCTCTGACCATCCTTCTAAAAGTAATTCTCCCATCCCCGTCCCTCGCCTTGTTTTATTACCTTACCTTGTTTTAGCTTCTTCATAACGCCTCCCACGGATTCAAACGTTCGTATTCGTTTGTTGAACGCCTCCTCCTTCCCACCCCCTCACTTGAATGCAAACCCCAAGAGGGAAGAGATTATTTTTGTTGCTGCAGATTCAAATACTGAATTCTCAGCATCTGACATAGTAGTTGCTCAATGCATGTTTGAACGAAAAAACAGGGCTTGGCGCACAGTCTGCTCTTGGCAAAAGCCACAAGCGGAAAGTTGAGAAGCTGGGGGCGGGGGCAGGGCACAGACCCCGGCCTGGGTTGCCGCAAGCCACAGCGCCAGGCACAGCCGGAGGGGAGCACTGGGGGCGGGGCGGGGCCGGGCAGGCCACCCGGAACCCGAGCGCGGCAGCGGCGGCGGTTTCCGGTGGCGGCGGACACTTCCCGTGGAGGGACCGTCCCGTGGCGCCTGGTGGGCCCGGGGGGACGCGGCGGGCCGGGAGCGGCGGCGATGGCCGACCACAGTCTGGACGAGTTCCGCCGGCGCTGGCAGGAGGAGCTGGCGCAGGCCCAGGCGCTGAGGAAGCGGCGGCGGCCCGAGGCTGCCGAGCGACGGCCGTGGCGGCCCGAGGTGGTCCCTGGGCGCGGCGAGCAGCAGGCCTCGGGGTACTTGGCGCTGGCCCAGGGCCTTTTGGAGGGCGCGGGGCGGCCCCCGGCGGCGCGGGCGATCCGGCCCGAGAGGCAGGAGGCGGCGAGCCGTTCCCGCTCCCCTCCGGCCCGCGAGGCTGCCGGCGGCGGGGAGCAGCTGGTGGATCAGCTCATCCGGGACCTGGTGAGTGGCCGTCGCCTCCCGCCGAGGCACGGGCTGGCCGGCGCCCCGGTACAAATGGCCTAATGAGTTGGAAAGTAACTGTGTGCCACCAGTGAGGGGGTGGGGAAATGAGTAGAGGTACACACCCCTGTGTTTGTGTGTGCACTGAGTATCTCTGGAAGGTGTGATTCCCAGCTGGGGGCGATTTTGTCCCCCGTTTTGGCAGTGTCTGCAGACATTTTTAGATGCCACAGTTGGGGCGGGGGTGTGTTCGCTGCAGGCGTCTAGTGGGTAGAGGCCAGGAATGCTCATGAACATTCTACAGTGCACAGGACAGCACCCACAAAAAATTATCTGGTCTAAAATGTCAGCAAGTATGAGACCGAGAAATCCTGATCTAGAAGGGCTCCTAAACTTTTAACAAGGCTGCCTTTGTGGAGAACTCACGACGTGGACAGGAAGGAATTTTAACTTTTCTCTTTATAGTGTTTGTACAGTTCAAGTTTTTCTAACTGTTCATGTATTACTTCAGTTAAAGCAGACAAAAAACTTTTGATAAGAACCTCCATGCTAATCATAGTGCACATTTTGTGGGGCATGAATCCCTTCCAGAATTTGGAGTAAGCCAGGAACCCTCTCTCTCTTTTTTTTTTAAAGCCCCTTTCACAAAGTTGTCACAATCAAGATCACCTGAAACGCATTCATGTTTAAGAGTTGGAAAAAGGCAGCAGGTTTTAATGACTTAAATTGGGCTCAAAGGCAGCGTCTGTGGCTTCTCAATAGGGAGTAATTCTGTAATTGCTAAGCTGTTTCCAGAAGAAATGGCTTATTCAACATAATATGTAGTTATGTTCAAATAACATTAGTAGCTATAAGATTTCAGAGTTTCTGGTTCTGTGCTCTGCCTATCTCTAAGGTTAGATATCAACTTTGTGTGTGTGTGTTATAAGCGTTCTCATTTAATGTGTAATATATATGAAAATTCATATAGGCGTCATGCGTGCTTGTGTAAGAAGCGGGGCATCACTGAAGAAGTCTGACATGTAAAAATTAAATTTGTCAGTGCCTTGGGAAGGTGACTTTAGCACCTGATAAGTTGTTCAGGCTAGTCCAGATCTACACAGAAGTTATCCCCACAAAAGTAAACTTGTAGGCTGAGGCAAGACCAGCTTTGGGGGTAAAGAGAAACAGGAATGTGGATTAGGACATTATTAGGACAAAGGCACATTTGGGGCCTCACAAATCCTCCCCACTGAATGTGGCATTGTATTCAGGAGTCACAACAATCCTGGGAGGTAGGTATTGTCAGTCTCATTTTACAAACGAGGAAATGCAGGTTTTCTGTAATTTGCCCAGGGTTACCCAGCTGCAAGTTCTTGGGATTGAATTTGGATTCAGATCTGTTGGACTTTAAATTTCACCAGGTTCCCTAAACTTGACTTGCTGTAACAGTCACATTAAGCCTTATTAAAATATAGGTTCTGGCCCTTCCCAGCCCTGCTGCATCAGTTTCCAGGGGAGGGGCCCAGAAACCTGGTGATTGGGATGATCAGGTGAGTTTGAGACATTGTTCTCAGCTGTACAGCTTATTTTGGTTTGAGGTCTTGATTCCCTACTCTTTCTAGTCCTAACATTCCTGAGGCACAGGCATTGATACCAAAAATAGTGGAGCCCTAACTGAAGTATCCTAAAAACGGAAGCGGCCTGCCTGCTGGAGGATCCAAGGGACTTCAGAATCTGTCTCATTTATAGTTAGAAAAAGCCTGCCCCGGAGTATATGCCCTTGATCCCTTCTGCTCCCTTTGGAATCACCACATTAGGTTCTGCGAGGCTCTAAGCTACCGTGAGCAGCATCCACACTTTGGGGCACCGCTAGTGGTTTTGGTTTTTTGTTTGTTTTTTGTACTTAGCAATCATCAGTAACACAGCTATAAATAAAAACTAAAGTAATAATAATTCATTGCGTGCTTACTTGTTTGTCTCCTGGGTGGCGTCTTGTCAGGGATTAGAGACGTTGTCTTCTTCAGTTCTCCCAATGGCCCTCTCCAGTGGACAGCGTTAGCCCCATAGGACAGATGAGGTTTAGGAAAGTAATTGTTTTAAGGGACCCACCCAGTATCTTCAGTCCGAAAAATGATGGCAGCCTTTATAGAAAAGGTATTTCAGGGGTTGTAAGTCCCAAAGCCCACAGAGGGCAGGGAGGAAATGCAAATGAGTGAACTAGGCTACATGTTACTCATTTGATCCTTTTTTTCCTAGTTCATCAGGTGTTGTGTCTTCAGATTCCAGCTATACTTTTGTAATAATTTGTTTCATAACGGCTACCGTTCTTTTTGTCACATTAAGTAGTAAACATAACGGTGTAGATATTGTCTTCACAATACCCCTAAAGAAAAATACTTAACCATTTTTCCTTGAAGCACAGCCCTCCTCTTGGTCTTGTTTCCCCACTTTTTAAAAATTAAAAAAAAAAGGCAACCTCTCTATTGAAATGTACCAACCGTAAATGTACATCTTGATGTATTTTCAAGAGTGTACACATCAATGTAAACAGCACCCAGTTACAGAACAGCATTACCAGCTTTTCAGAACCCTTATGTGTGCCATTCCACCCAAGGGTAACCACTCACCTGACTTCTAACGTCTTATTTTAATTTTATCTGATTTTGAACTATATAAGTAGAATCATACAACACATACTTTTGGGTTTTTGTGCACAGCATTATGTGTGAGATTTATCCCTATGAATATGCCACATCTTACTAATTCTGTTGATGGGCATTATTGATAACTAGTTTGTTAATAGCCAGTTTGGGGCTGTTAGGAATAGTGCTGCTGTGAACATTTTGTACATCTTTTGGAACATATGTACACACTCTTCTTGGGTATTTGCTTAGGAGTGGAATTGCTGGGTTGCAAGATATGTGTATGTTCAGCCTTAGTAGATAATGACCGTTTTCCAAAGTGGTTGTACTGTATTTTTCACTTTTCATAGTAACTGGAGTATGTGGAATATAGTATTTCACTTTCTTCTTTGCCATAAATATACCACCACCCAACTGAGACAACATATGGCAAGTGAACGTGACCCTAGCATGGATGAGATGATAGTGACGAATTGGAAAATGTTAAGCTGTGGCTGGGCTAAAAGCGAGAGCCTCTGCCCAGGTCAGCTGCTTGTTGCCGTGTAGGAATGTGGTCCTGGTGTTTCAGAGTCTTCAGGGTTTTTTCCCCCCAAATTGCGGTTATGTATTTTTATGTGGGCTCTATCAGTTTTTGCTACAAAGAAACCCCCAAAACTTTGGCTTAAGAGAACCAAGATTTATTTAGCTCACCATCTTGCAGAGTGACGGTTGAGCTGGGTGTGAGTGGGCTCATGTACCTGTCTGAGGTTAAGTCCTGTCAGCGAGGCAGCTCCACTTCTGGTTGTGTGTGTGTGTGTGTCTGGATTATGTGTCTAATCTTCTAGCACGTTAGCCCTGGGTGGACCTTACCAGAGATATGAGAGCAGCAAAAAGGCAAGTCCCAACACCCAAGTGCTTTTGAAGTCTCTGCCTAGGTCATGTTTGTTATTGTCTCATTGACCAATGCAATTCATATGGCCTCACCCAGAGTCAGATACCCAAATGCTTGAACACAGAGAGGCGCGAACAAATTAGGGGACTAGTTAATATAATTATCTACCACAAAAACTCTTCCCACTTTTAGTTTTTGTTAACATATGTACATGATAGAAAACGACGCCTCTCCTTTGACTAGCCATGAGTTTGTGATCTTTGCCTTATGTCTTCCCAAGAATCCTTTGATCTGTGGGTGACTCCTGAAAAGGAAAATTTAGTTCCATTTGGGACTCCCCAGAAACTGACAGGCTCATCCAGTTGACATGAAAGGGAAATAAAAAGCCGGTACCACCTCATAACAGCCCCTCTCCCCTTTTTTCCCCACCTTTGGAGCACTCTGTTAGACCAGCACATCCTGTTGTATTTTTGGTGCAGTCTCTTTCACTTCAGTTTTCAGTATCATCACTAAAGCAAGAACAACTAGTACGTTAGCAGTCAGGAGTGAAATTGCCTCTTGATGGGCACATGAACAGCATCGCCTTACAGTGTCACATGGCCGGGTACAGGCAAGACCTTTGATGGACAAGCCCAGCTGAAACGAAAACTTAGAAACGACTCCCATTGAGCCTCGTCTTCTCTTGTGAAGCTTTTAGTAATAGTGCTTAGAAACCATCCGTTTCAGGTGGTGAGTTAGGGACACCTAAATTGTCTTCTTGGTATATGGTTGAGTTAGTGCAAGAAATGATACAGCCCTGCATAGAATTTTAGAGGCAGTAGGCACTTTGTCTTTTTTGTCTTTTTTCCCTTTCTCAGTAAATTCAGGCTTCTCACAGATAGTGGAGTATAATTGCAAGTATGCTGCTGCTTTTTTCACTGTGGTGGTTATGAAATCCAGTTGCTCGGTCCCGTCTCTATTTAGGTGATGTGTCAGGACTCTGGGCTGCAAGCAGTCAGCACCCAACTCAAACTGGCTTAAAAAAAAACAAACTGGAATCTGTTGATTCATGTAACTGAAAATTCCAGGTGTGGTCCTTGTTCTGGGTGGTTTTATGATGTAACTAGAAGTCTCTCCATCTCTCTTTTGTCTTCCCCCCACCCCAGTTTTACTGAGATATAATTGACATAGAACACTAACAGGTACAGCACGGTGACTTGACATATGTATATCTTACAAGATGATTACCACAGTAAGTTTAGTTAACATCAGTTACCTCAATAGTTAACAAATTTTTTTTTCTTTGTAGAAATCTCTCCATCTCTCAGTCCTGCTCTCCTTTTGTTGGCTTTATTCATAGCCTTGGCTTTATTCATAGAATTGGCTTTATCCCAATGTGGGATAAAATGGCTGCCAGCAGCTCCAGTCTTATATTCTGTCAGCTTATCAACCCAGGGGAAACAGAGCATCTGTTTTATGCAGCAGAAGTTATGAACTTAAATTCCCATTGATCCAGACTGGGTCGT